AGACGCTTATTGCAGTTTGGTGGTGATGCGGACCATGGTTTGGATCCAGGATTTTTTTTTCTAACTCGAAAAGTTATCAACAGATTGAATAAAATTTTAACCTGAGGTTTGTCCCTATAAAATTTTGGTGGTGATCCAGAATATTTGGGAAAACTACCCCCCATGGGTGGGTGGGGGGGGAGGTTTGCATTTTCGAAATGTTTTGCTCATAGATCAAAGTAACTATGTATGATGAAAACATAAAGGAAAGAAAATACACCATATAAATAACATATGTTTAGTTATTTGTATGGAAAATTTCTTCATTGTCGTTTTTTTGATGCTTGCCAGATTTTTTAAATTATTCCGAAAAAAAGAAGGTTGGTCTCATCTTATGTGAAATTTGATAAGCTTTCAGAAAATAACCTCATATTTTTATTATCTCTAATCATTGCGTCACAAATGCCAATTTTCTAAGGTAACATCAAAAAAATAATATTTCAGTCGACATCGAAAATCACTGCTACCACCTAAAAAATGATGGTCGGGCCTTGAAATTTTCAGGGGAGAACCGGGGGCCTAGAAACTCCTTGAAAATGCATTAAAGTCAATTTCGGCAAGAGAGGCGAAAATCGTCGAAAAATCACCAGAAGGTCCCCTTAACATCCAGTAATCTGAAAAGCTGAAGGGTCAGATAGTACCTTGAGAAAAGCCTCCTATGCTTGTAATATCTGTACTGACATTGGTATTCCTTTCCACACTCTTGTTAATTCTTTGTGCTGATGGGGATGGCATGTGCGTACAAGCCATGCCCACTGTGTGTTTAACCCATTTACAACAGGTGTCCCACATATGAGACATATAAAAATTGCTGGGTATACCGCAAGTATGACGTTGGATCGGAGCTTGCGCTCAGATTCCGTCACAGGCCACAGCTGGCGTGCGGGCAAATTACGGGCCAGCCCCGTGCACCAGTTTTGTAGCCGCCCGGAAACTATTATTTTTGGCTTCAAAATATACTAGCACTAGTGGGTTAATCTAGTAATTATTTTTACAAATAGATGGCTCCACAAGTACTGGGTCACCAATGAGCCAGTTACGAGAAGTACCTGTCTCACCCGTTTAAGGGGACCATCGCACCCAAGAACTAAGTTTGTTAATTATGATAGGATTTTCATGATCTTTTTTTTATTTGTTGTATATACATACACTATGATTTACACCACCAAGTTTCATATCATTTGAATAATAAACAATGAAGTTATAAAAAATCTTACTTATCCATTGACTGAACTTGTTGAAAAAAATACCACATATACTCTATACCAATACTTAAATTCGTAATAATTTGGATTATGAAATTTCCTCTTAGTTTAGTGGCTTTTTTTTTTTTTTCTAAATGTTCATTGTTAAAAATATTAAATATGATATATGGACTTTTATCACCTGAAATGAAATTTGAATCGTTGAGAAAATCGCAAATTTATTCAGATTTCAAATGATCCAAACCCCATTAGAATTTGCCAAGTAGTTAAGGAGTGACAAAAAATTGTGGACAAAGATGTACTTTTGAAATATCAGGCTTTGAATTTGAGGCTACTTTTTTTTTCTGATCTAAGCATCAATCTTGATGCATTCTATGGCATTCACATGGTCTTCTGAAGTGTAGCTGGTACCTGGTCCCCCCCTTTTGCAAGGTACAACTGGTAATAACTGCACATGATTGAAGAAATACAGCGTGTCATCACAGGCTTCGCAGTGCCTTTACAGTACGTGAGTTTCATATGAATAAACAATTGCTGCAGCTGTGATTGAGACCTACTTCTAATCATATTATGTTTATCAGTTACAGGAATAACATCTATCATTAGTAGCATCCTCTTACTGTGTGATGAGGATGCATCACACACTATATATC